CCCAATTTGTTTCATGGGATAAAATGCGAAGCGATAGACATTGATGCAAGTGCCAACTGCAATTTACCAAATAGCCCAAATGCAGTGTGAGTTTGTTCCAGAAATAAAGCATTTACCGATCATTTACCCATCATCCAACCGTTCAGCCGTTCATCCCCATCCCTGCCTTCTTGCTGAAGGCTATCTGTTGCCCTGGTGCCAGGTCTGACACCAAAGTTTCCCACCTGGGATGATATCAACTGAGTTGGATTAATGTTATCAGTTTTGTTACCAGTTTTGGTTGTGAAATTAGTGAAATTCTAAGTTTGTTGCTGGTGAATCATTAAGAATTTGAGAGTGATATTGTTAATCCTAAGAATTCTGATCAACAATAACATCATCATCCTTATCGTGGTCGTTTTTGGTTCCTACAGATCTGTATCTGTCCCAAATACATCACGGCAGCAGAATGACGCAAACCTCAGGGCTGATGAGATTGGACTGCCAAAGACTCTAGAATCAGAAACAACCCATGAATCAACATACGCGCTGCAGCCAACGGCTGTGTTTCATGGCTTAAGACCCAGGCACGCACAGATCTTAACCATGTCAAACCATCCAATTTGTGAGCAATATACCCCAACTCTTGTTGGCTAAATCCGTCGTTCTGAAGGGTTTTCAAGTTGTTTCCCAATTGTTGGTCCTTGAAATCCCATTCTTGGTTGGGCAACTTTTTGGATCTTCGAAATCGTCCAATCGCTGCCCAAGAGGCCAAGTTCTGATGTCAACCATCAAATCCAAAAATGCCTCCCCATTGGAAAAGCCAGGGAGTGGCACACGAAAACAGTGGAGGATCACAAGAAATGGTGGTACATGAATTCAATGAATTTGGATGGATAATTTAAAAAAAATAGGAAAAACAACATAGTGGAACTGATGGTGGTCAATCAACAGCAATGACGGTGGTTTTTCGTCTCAATTAAATTGGAAAAACTGAAAGGTTCACTCAAATGGGGAAGCATTTAGCACTGAAAATGGCTGGAACATGTCACGGTTCAATTTGACTGGTGTCAGTTCATCCAGCTGCCAGGATGGAATGGTGGCAGTTTCGCTCCCCATAAGACGCAGGTGCTCCAGTTTGCCGGCCACAGGTTTCAGCAAAGAAAACAATGCGTTGCTGTCGCCTTTGGCGACATATTCTCGGGGCATGGTCAGGCAAGTCGTGAAATATCATTTCTCAAAAAACCGCGGGCTTTCCCCAGAGCATTCCTCCACGCAAATGTCAGATCTTCCAGGGCCGCCGCCCTCTCCTGCGGGCCTTTCCACAAGTTAGCAACTCCAAAATGCAATTCCAAAAGAATATTGATCCAAGCGCTGGGCACACTGTTGCTGCTCAGGGCTGTCACACTGTCCAACCATCCACCTTCATCCAAACGCTTGGAGGGTAGTCAGGGTTTCCAGCGATTTCGGGCCCCTTCCACGCCTTCCATCGGCTACACCTCACAGCGTGACACCATCCTCCCAAAGGTCGATCATAATCTACATCGAGGCATCTCGATGGAAAGCTAAGTTGCGCAAGGTGGCAAAGACAGGGATGATCTGTTTAACCAGCTGCATCACAATGCAGCTTGCTGATTTCAATTCTCTTTTCTATTGTTGGCCCAATCCCTGTTCGTTACGGTACAGCCCTTCGTGCAATGGCACACCAACCAGTTTTGACATGGCGAGCAGAACTTCTATGTTTTCATGGACAGAGCGAATTCCGCGGTCAACGTGCAGCAGTGTTTCTCTTGGTCGCTGCGGGCAGTTTGCCAGACAAATGTGTGACTTGAGTGGCAGCAGTTCTTTTTAGGGCAAACTTTGGCCCTCGACCATCACCATCGACCACCTCCCGTTGGGCTCTTCCACCTCTTCAATTCTTCCAAGCGGTTTGATGGGAAATGTGGACATGAGCCAGGACACAGCCTCATCCAGGGCCTCCACATAATCCACCAAGGGCGGTGACAGCAGCGTGGCTACAAATGAAGAGGTATGAGTTTCCTGACAAGAATGTTCCAGAATGTTAATTCAATCTGCTTCCAGCTTAGTTCACAAACTACTTACATTTAGGCAGGTTCCAAGTCCTCAAACATCTGTGTCTAGGTCCAACATTTTGTGACCTGGCAAACATGAAAATCATACAGTACTCTGAATGGTTTTTGTCACTCAATTGACCCCTGGTCGCGGGGTCATTGTCCTCAGGAATTGTGGACGGTTTCCTACAGATCCCACCAAGTTTTTAAGTGTCAGAAGTCTTGGTCATTAATCCAGCTCATACCGATATTTTTTTGAAGCCATCCCAGGTAGAATGGAACATGATTTAGCTTACATTTGCTTCCCACGTTTCACACTTGGATGATGGCTCTGGCACAGAGCTAGCGGCTGTGCATCTCGGATGTGTGGCCTGGCTCGCAGGCACCAAATCATCTTGACCTGACAAGACCCCGGTGCTGTTGCCAAGACATGGCTTTCAAGTGCTGACGACATTGTGGGATTTGACCACCATGAGGATGATATAAATATGTCAGTGTGTACATATATATACATATATAGAGAGAGAGAGAGATGTGTGTATGTGTGTATATGATACTTATTATATGATATATATATATATATGTATGCATATGTATCTGAATCTGTATGTACATATAGGTATATGATTGTGTATGTGTATGCGTGTGTGTGTGTATCTATGTATATATCTATGTATCTATGTATCTATGTATCTATGTATCTATATATCTATGTATCCATGTATCTATGTATCTATGCATGCATGCATGCATGCATGATGGATGGATGGATGGATGGATGGATGGATGGATTGATGGATGGATGTCTGTAAGTATGTATATGTGTACAGAATAGTAATTGATGATATAATCCATTGCTTATGTTTGTATACATAAATTTGATCTACCTGAAGATGTTCATTGCCGGGCGCACCCCCAGCACAGGGCCAAGTGATAGACCAGCTGCGACGTCTATAGGATGACCTGCCGGAGCCACAGAGGAGTTTAACCATGAAAAATTGGAATTCCACCAACCATGTTGTGGTAATAAATGGCAATGTAATGGAGAAATAATGGGATACAACTGTATGTATAACTATAGCCATAAGTACAACTATAACTATAACCAAACTCCTATGAGATTAAAATAGGGGATACAGGGAACCTCAATTTATGGCAAGTATATGGCAAGTTTGACACGAAAAATCCAACCCATCCCGAAGTAACTGGCCCAGGTGGCTTCGGATTGGTTGTGCTGGTTGATTCCTGGCGATTCCCGGTTTACTGTATCATAACTCCCCTTGACCCTGATGCAAAATGTGCAAATAAGAAAAATCGTGCGGATCTAAAATCTAAATGACAAAGTTTATGTTCAACGGAAAAACATTTGAAGTTGGAACTTACCACCAAGGCGACCAAGGCGACCAAGGCGGCCAAGGCGACCAAGGCGACCAAGGCAACCCAGGGTTGGGTTGCTGAACCCTGGGGCGTGATGGACCTCCTTCGCTGCAGCGTCATGGCTAAAAGCGTGCCACTGGCAACCTTGGAACTCAGGACATCTCAGGACATCTCAGGACATCTCAGGACATCTTAGGACTAGGGCCTGACTAGGGGTCCTCGGGGTCAAAATTGGATACCTGAAAAAGAAATAAAAAGAAAATGTATGGGGAACAGTAAAACTTAGTAAAAATTGCTAAAGTGGTCTATTCTCAATGGTGTCGAGGGTCTTTCATTTAACCCACAGCCACCAAAAGAAGGGAGTCCCTGATACGCACTGAGATGAACTTGGGCTCACATGACATATGGACGTGGAAAAAGTCACCGGACCTCATGAACATTCGACTCGAGACAAACTGGTAACCAAAACATCCAAAACTAACATACCAATACTATCCAATACTCCCAATACTGGAGATATCTGGAGATAAAGGAAGCTGGTCAAGACTCAATTCTTTTCGTTGGCCTCCAGGGATGCCATTTGATCCACTTCGGCAAAGAAACAATCTGCCGAATATATCTGGTGATTGAATCTCGCCTGTGGATTTGTCCAAAAAAAAACTACAGTACCCTAAGCCCCAAACCCCAAAAAAACTGTAGTCTAATAATCACTTTCCTTATTGCCATTTTGGGAGTATACCCATTTTTCAAACACATCCATGTCAGTCTACATGGTGCCACTGTGCCCTTCCAACACCCCATGGTCATGCCGGTCATGCAACCCATTCGTGCCGCAAATGTTCTCTCGGATGCGTGGGACGCCTTGAAACCTCAGCTTGAGTATCAAGTAAGAATGGGAATACCATGGAATACCATGGAATACCTAAGACTTTTAAGGCTGCCAATTTCTCGGATTCGAACATCAAAGCACCGGGCTACTCAACCTTGCGCCTAGTCACGGCCGCCGCGAGCGGCGCTGCGGTCAAGCACGGAATTCCCTTCTGGATCCCCGTAGGCGCCAGCATGGCTCAATGGAAAACTGTGGATTATTATGGATTTTTTGTGTGCAACATGTCGATGGGCTGATGGGGCAACCATCTGCCCTGTGATTATTGTGATTGAAGGATGTTTGCACTATGCTGCCGCTATGGATACCAGGGCTGAAAGTTGATACTGTTGATAAGATTGGAGAATGACTGGAGACTGAAAAATGAGGCACTCCACCATGTCTCAAGCATTTCGGGCATTTCTTGGAAAATCTGACTTTGAACCAAGCCGCTTGGATCGAAAGATGTCATTACCATTCTTGTGTGCGACCTGACATCGGCATCTGTCAATCATTAAACGCTCAGCAGAGTCTGACAAACAAAACCCTTTTCTCACAGTTTCAATCCAAGCACGGCCTTTTCTCGTTCAGTCTCATTGGTCAGTTCAAGACATTGGCTACTGCTGCTTCGCAAGGCAAAGCTCTGGTGGCGGTGGTAACTCAGCGTCAATAATTTTTGAACCATAGATCATAGCTATGTTTCGACACACACACACACACAGCCCAAACCACCAACAGCTTCGGCAGTTGAACATGGACAAGCTGAAAAGCTGCAGAGTCGGACCGACGCATGGTGCATTCGGCCGCAACCTATGAACCCATGTGCTTTGTGGGTGTCTCCAAAGAAAATGCACTCAGTAGATGAAAAGGACCGGAACACAAGCCAGATATCTTGGTGCTGATTTTGAGACGTAACCATAGCCTTCTTTTCACTGAACAAACTTCCATGCGGAAATTTCAAGCAAAGCAGTGACCTTGCTCCCAGGCCTGGTAATTTAGAAAGGCATGTCTTTGAGCTCCGTCAAATCATCACTGAGCCTGGAAACTTTTCATTCTGCTACCAACGTTTTGTCGCAGCATCGGCTAAGGCGAGAGGACCATGAGAGGACCATGAGAGGACCATCATACCGTGGCTACGATTACTTCACACAAACCAGGGACTCTGACGGCCACATCCCACGCGGGGCACGAAGCACTGCCAGGTGCAGCAGGTCTGGCGCCCAAGATAATGCTATCCACCGCCTGGCAACACTAGGGAACTCCCAGTGGAGATTCCCTTGTGTAAGCCCTGTTTCTGACAAGTGTTTCCAAATTGTTGGCTAAAAGAAAAGTACGCACTTGTTTCATTGTGAGAATTGTGCTTTGCCCGTATATTTTTGTTGCTGGGTTGGAGGCCGAGTCTCCAATTCAGGGTTTGGGCCACCGCGGGCGGTTTTTTTAGCAGTTCAGAGGCACCTAATCTTCAAACATCTTCAAACCATAGAAGGTATATGGTCTACCAGTCTACGCCATTTTTTGACTAACACAAAAATTGTACATGGCTTACTGATTGAGAATGTTTTTTTTCATATACTTCAGGATACCTACCTTTGAACGACTTAGATTGGTATCAAGTATCAACTAAGATTCTTCAGCATACTGGCCTCTTTGAGCCACAAAAGGAATTGTGTAGTCTCCTCCTCACTAAAGAAGCATTGATTCCTTGGAACATGTCAACTGGTGACAACGGTGACAACATGACTTCCAAGGGACAAGGAAGGCAGTTGCCAATTCCGGCTCCTGACAATCGTTAAGATTGTCCTGTATTGTCTCCTAACACAAAACAAAATGCTGTCTATTCCCGCTTCCCACCATTCACCTTCTGGTCATCTCATGACACATCTGACAATGGACATGAAAGAGGCAGACACATGAGAGACGGTACCTAATGACGTGCACAACGCCAGGAAAGCAACGTGAAAAAATGCCGTGCGAATTCAAGACCCAAGCGACTGCAAAGTGCCAAGCAGGGACACATAATCGTAGAAAAAGTTCGTGTCGCTGTTATCATACCTTGCCACCAAACATCCCCAAGGATTCTGGAGAGTGGTAGAGATCTTTGTCATTCTCTGGTTCGGTGCTGTCTGCTCTTGGTAGAGGCCTGTTTTGGTCTTGTGTAGCTTACCCTGCTATCTGTCAATTTGACTGCAGGTAAAGCAAGTCTTTCCAGTGCCTATTTTTCATCTAACAAACCCTGAATCCTGGAGCTAAGTCAGGGGAAAACTAACGGGAAAGCTCTGCATTTGAATACAAAACCAAAAACTAACATTGTTCCTGCAGGCCCAAATTCATCCATTGACAGAAAAACTCAGGTTGTAACTCACCTTTCTTCCATGCGTTCCGGATCATCTGCGTCACCTGCGTTCCAAAATGTGTGTTTGTCAAAAAATGGTCGATACCCAGAAATTGCAAGTAAATCTAATGAGGAAAACAATTACAATCCACACGGTTTTGAGGTACCCAATTTTGAGCATACCCGCGTAAAGACATTGACATCAAAGAAAAAGGTTCAAGCAATCTTGTGACCAGCTAATTCGAAAAGACAATCCAAAGTTGAGAAGATAGAGAAAATGTGCCTATCTATCCCTGCCCGAATTTCAAACCCCACCTCCTAAACATTGCAACATGTTGGGAAAAAATGCATTTTTTTCTCGAGTATATACAGTATCTGTTTTTGTCTCAAACTTCACAATCCCAACAGTCCCATGGTTTGTGTTGTCAAGATCTTCCGCAGCAAAATCGCCATTTTGGAGTTATATAAGCACATATATACATATATATGATATATATATATATTTATATTTATTTATAAATAATGTATATATATGATTATATATGCCACATAGATAGATAGATGGATAAATGGACAGAAAGATAGCGAGATAGATAAATAGATAGATATGGAAATGGATAGGTAGATAGATAATTAGATGGATAGATGGATAGATGGATGGATGGACGGATAGATAGATGGATGGATAGGATAGATAGGATAGATAGATAGATGGATAGGTAGATAGATAAGATAGATAGATAGATAGATAGATAGGTAGATAGATAGGTAGATAGATAGATAGGTAGGTAGGTAGGTAGATAGGTGTGTATATATATAAATGGATAGGTAGGTAGGTAGATAGATAGATAGATAGGTAGCTAGGTGATAGATAGATGGAGAGATTAATAGGTGCATACATGCATAGGATGGATAGATATAGATGGATGTAATGCATGGTATGCACAGGATGGAAGGGATGGATAGTATAACTTAGTATAGATTAGATAGACTAGATTGATTATGTAGGTAGATTAGGTAGATTAGGTACATTAGATTTTACAGACTAGATAAGTTGAATCAGATTTAGACAGATTAGATAGGTACGAAAGATAAAATGAACAGAGATTGTTAGATTGGGCTAGTTTACATTAGAATAGATTGGATCAGATTTTGATTAGATTTAGATTGGATTTTGATTGGATTTACATTCGATTTAGAATTAGATATAGCTGTAGGTTCAGATTCAAATTCAGATTCAGATTTAGATTAGGTGTTAGATTGGATTGGATTTAGATTCAGATTTAGATTTAGAGTTGAATTTAGTCAGACTTAGACTTAGATTTAGATTGAGATTCCGATTCAGATTTTTGAGTTTGAGTTTGAGTTTTATTTGGATTTGGATTACATAGATTCGATTGGATAGATGCATAGATTATATAGATAGATGGATGGATGGATGGATGGATGGATGCATGGATGGATGGATAGATAGATAGATAATTAGATGGATAGATGGATAGATGGATGGGTAGACGGATATGTAAAGTTTCACCGGCACTCTGATTGTGATGGATTGTGTCCACGTTGTCTCACGTTTGTCCTCTTGTCCAATTGTCCTTGTCTTGTGCACGCTCCGCTGTATTGTTTTCCTCTGGCAATTGTCTTAGGCTCAAGGCCTTGATCCAGAGCACAAATTGTGCTGTGCATTGTTGCCATGTACACTATGGATATTGTTGATATCAAAACTATTGTATTCTTAACACCGTCCCTCGAATTGGCGGCATTGTGCACGCCACTTCGTTTAGGATTGTCCATTCACATTGTCCATTAGCATCGTTGAAAACTGAAATCAGCATTATTTTTCTCTCATTGTTCAGTGCAAAAATTGTTCAAGTCTGTACAGTGGATTGTTGATGATCTGTACACTTCTTTGCCTCATTGTCGACTCGTTGTGCGTCTTTTGATTGTCTCGTGGTCGGCAAAGATGTGGTGTCATCATAGTCAATCCTCTTGGATCTTGTAGATCATCTTCTAGCCGTCCTTCTGTTCGACTTCCATGTCGTCAGCACGGCGCTTCCTGTTCTCTTTGTTCCCAACTTGCTGGATCTCATTGTCAGACCTGGTCATGACCCAGGCTGCATGGTCAGGATGACCAATGCTGTGCATAGGGATCATGTTGGCTGGGGTTGTTGCCAGATTGCGATCCAACAGGAATTCCAATGCCTTGTCTCGGATGTGCCTTGGCATGATTTTGAGGCAAGTGGTGCCTCCATTGTATAGGCCTTGGATGAGAGCAGTCATGATGTGAGAATTGTTCTCATCATCCTTGACCTCCAGGGCTGTGAGCACATTCACTGGCATTGCTGATGCCCACACATACCCACTTGACCACACAAAGCGTGAGGCCAGTTGGAGCACATTGTAGTTGTCATTGTTGACAATGACCATTGTCGACAACTCTTCGGCGGTGAGATTGTATTGGAATCCTTCCAGCACTTGCCTCATCTGTAGGCTATATCCACGCTGGAATGAATTGACGTGCTTCATTGTGTGATGGGAGCACCAATTGTTGAGGTCCAACTGAATTTCCACCATCACTGTGCTTGACGATGGCGTTGCGTGTCTTTCGACACGTGCCAACACAGCTGATTTGCTGCGTCCTGGATTGTGGGGACCCCGATTGTCTGGAGCCACCGTTTGCCAGCTCGGACATCATGGGGATGTAGGTCAATGTTCCTTCTTGCTCTGCGATCATGGCCACATATTCCTCCATTGTGAAGCTGAAGACGGTCATTGTTTTGCCGTCCTAGCCCAACAGCAATTGTCTTGCTGTCTTGTCCGTCTCCTCAGGCTTCAGGATGCGAATTGTGGCCTCTTCTTCATTGGCCAGTGCAGCACGGTCCACATAGGTTGTGGCCGTTGACTTCGGGCCCAGAAGTACCAGGCTCTTGTAGTCGATCTGGTCGATCGACTCATTGTAGTTTGGCATGTCCACCTTGGGTGCCATCATTGTTTCACCTGGCGTTCTTGTAGATGATCTTGTTCACCGTATTGTCGGGTCGCTTGTGAGCAGACGCGGCTGCGGTGAACTAGTGTTTCATCGACATTGTTCATGCATTGTCAATTCAAAAGCAAAACGATTCAAACACGATTGTCTCAGGATTGTTCCAACTCGACATTGTCCAGTCGCACTCACATGCAGCAAAAGAAGACGTCAATGATGAATTGTAGATGACATAGTATATACCAGTAGTACCGCACAAGGCGGTGGCGGAAGTTTCAAAAATAGGAAACCTATAGGAGAGATTGGTTGTTGTGAATCAGGGATGGCAGAGCGAATCCACTCATGGACCGAAAGGTGCTTGAGGTCTCCTCTCTTTCTCTCTCTTTCTCTGACTATCTACCCGCCTACCAACCTATCTTCTATGTATCTATCTATCTATCTATCTATCGATCTATCTATCTCTCTCTCTCTTTCATCTAATTACCCATCTATCTATCTATCTATCTATCTAACTATCTATCTATCTATCTATCTGTCTGTCTGTCTATCTATCTATCTATCTATCTATCTATCTATCTAATCTATCTATCTATCTATCTATCTATCTATCTATCTATCTATCTCTTTCATCTAATTACCTATCTATCTATCTATCTATCTAACTATCTATCTATCTATCTATCTATCTAATCTGTCTATCTGTCTATCTGTCTATCTGTCTATCTGTCTATCTGTCTACCTGTCTATCTGTGGTGCAGTGTCATCCAGTGTAATGTGGTGTAGTGTAATGTAGTGTAGTGTATTGGAGTGTAGTGGAATGTAGTGTAGTGTAGTGTAATGTAGTGTAGTGTAGTGTAATTCAGTGTAGTGGAGTGTAGTGGAGTGTAGTTGTGTAGTCGTAGTTGTAGTTGTAGTGTAGTGGAGTGTAATGTAGTGTAATGTAGTGAAGTGTAGCGGAAGGTAGTGTAGTGTAGTGTAATTTTAGTGTAGTGGATCTATCTATCTATCTATCTATCTATCCATCTATCTATCTATCTCTCTCTCTCTCATTCATCTAATTACCTATCTATCTGCCACGCGAAACGACATCTGAGCCTCCAAAAGTGGTCCGAACCCCTAGTGCTTTGAACATGTTTACTTCGAAATGTCCTTCGCGCCACAACAGCGTGCACTTTTTCGACATCCGAACCTCCAAAAGTGGCGCGAACATTTGGTGTTTTGTACATTTTGACTTGGAAATGTGCTTCGCGCCACAACGGCGTGCACTTTTTCGACATCTCAACTTCCAAAAGTGGTCCGAACCTGGTGTGCTTTGTACATTTTGACTTGGAAACGTGCTTCGCGCCACAACGGCGTGCACTTTTTCGACATCTCAACTTCCAAAAGTGGTCCGAACCTGGTGTGTTTTGTACATTTTGACTTCGAAATGTACTTCGCGCCACAACGGCGTGCACTTTTTTGACATCTCAACTTCCAAAAGTGGTCCGAGACCGCCAGTTTTTAACACTTTTGACTTCGAAATGTGCTTCGCGCCACAACGGCGCGCAATTTTTCATCGCTCCTGTGGCCAGCTGGCTCCGCACCCGCCGCTTTAGCGAGCCTACTTTTCGACCCTCCGGAGCCACAAATCATTACATTGGAAAAACACAGTGTTGCGCGACTTTCCTACCTTTTCGCGCATCTGTATCTTCTGTCTTCTTACTCTTTCTCTTCTGATCTTCTCTCTTCTAATCTTCCTCTTCTCTCTGCCTCTGCCCTGCTCTGCTTTTCATCTCTCCATATTGTCGGAAGTTTGACTTCTAAACTTCCTTCGATCATAGTGAAACGAAGATCTTGTAGGTGATATAGTCATACATATAGTCGATGGTATCCATATTCTTTAAGAAAATAGTGTGCCATGGCTCGAGCAACCGTGTGTGTATTGTACACGCAGGGGATGCTTTGATGTTGTGAAACAGTGTTATGCCGGCGGTCAGTTGCGATGTTGTGGGCTGTGGATGCCCGCCATGTAGAGGTGTTTGTTGAGCACCTCTGCCGGGACATACTTTGTGAGTATGTCCGCTGGGTTGTCGTGTGTGC